GAACACGTCCTCTCCCCAGCCTGGACTTCAGCTCTTCTTCAGGATGCCCACGGGACTGGTTTCATCAGAACCCCAGCACTTAGCACTTCCCCCTACGCATTTGTTAATTTTTAGTTTTTAAAAATAGAACCTGAATTTCATGTAATACACATCCACCGAGAAAAATCAGAAAAACAAAAGAGCAAAAGAAGTCAGAATCACATATAATCCTATTAACCAGAGGAAGCCACTGTTAACATTTTCCCTTATATTCTTTCATTCTTTTTCCAATGCTAATCTATATGCTGAAAAAGAATTTTTTTAAAAACAAAAAACACTGTTTTTAAACATCTTTTGGACTCTGGAGCCAGATATCCTGGTTCAAATTCCAGCCAGACACTTATCATCTGTGTGACCTCTGGCAAGTCACTTAACCTCTCTGTGCCTCAGTTTCTTTATCTGTACAAAGGAGGAAATAATAGCACAGACCTCATAGGGCTGCTATGATGATGAGTTAATGTATAGAAAGCACTTGGGACTGTGCCCGGGCACATGGCAAACGCCGTACCAGTGTGAGCTGTCATCACCACTATTATTACGTACGTAAGGGACATCTGTTCAGCTAGATAAACAACCTTTGGCAGCATAATTTGCAGCTGCTTGGGGTTCCCTGGGATGAACGCACTCCTTAACCTCCTCTACTGTTAGCCATTTAGGTTGTTTCCAGTTTTTTTTCCTTCCATAAACAACTACGGGATAAACATCCTTGAACTAACACCTCTGCGCTCATCTTTATTTGTTACTAAAAATTCAACTGCTGAGTCACAGATCATACGTATTTTTAAGCTTTTGATACATCATTGCCAACTTGCCCTTCATAAAAGTTGCCCAGTTGACCCTCCTATGCGCAGTGGAACAGCATGCCCATCTCCCCACGCCTCGCCCTCACTGGTGGCCCTGGGCACACTCAATAATTTGCACATCTCTGCCCTCTGTCAGCAGACCACGCCTCCTTACTCATCGATGTGTCCCCACCCCTGCACCCCAGTGAAGCAGTGAAGTTTACTGAAATAGATGAACTGGAAATGAGGATTCAGGATCCTATTTTCGGTTTCCTGGGGGTAAATCAATGCCTCAGTTTCCCCCACATATAAAATGTGGGTCAACACACCTGTCAACAACCAAACACTATTTAAATGTAGTCTATGAAATTGTGTGGGGCCACAGATTCCATGCATTAAAAAAGGACACCAAAATTCCAGACAGAACGGGCAAAAATGCTGGTTTTTAATCACACATCAAGTATGTTTTTAAAAATTTCCCAATTCAATACCGAGGCTCCCAAGGGACCATCTCCAAGCCCCAAATCTGCCATTTTAGAGCTTTCTCTGACTCTGATCCATCTTGGAAACATATTGTCTGAGTACAAACGCACAAAAACCATCACCTTCCTACTTGTGAACAGACTAATGTCCCACTTTCCCACATCACACTAAAAAATAAAAAAGCATCCAGCTAGAAAAGGCAGCAGGAGTCTGTCCTCTGAGGATGGCAGCGAGCTTGTGTGCGGTGTGACAGTGGACCGGGCTCCTCTCACAATGCTAATGGGGTAGGGCCATTATTCCCATGTTACTGACATGGAGACTGAGCCTCAGAGAAGTTAAGAATTTGCTCAGGAGCTGAGAAGAACAGAGGAGACTCTGGAAGTCACATCCTCTGATTCCCAAATCCCTCCCTCCATGCGCCTGCAAGACACTGAGAGTCTGGAAAATGCCAGCCATCATAGACATCAGTCACTCATGAAGGCTCCCGGAATGGTCCCTACCACTCCCTTCTTCTCCAGAACAAAAAGACATGCTCAGGCTGGGCATGACAACTCCTGGGCATCCTTCCAGCCCCACATGTCAGGGGCACCTGGCTTTCCCCACCTGGGGTCAGAGCTGTGGATGTCGTCCAGCAGGGCCCAACCCCAGATGGCGTGCCCACCTTGTCCCATATGACGGGAACATGAGGCCTAAGCAAGGTCTCCTACCTCAGGGAGGCCTGGATTGTGCAGAGAACGCAGAGAAGGAACTGGAACATCTCGGAGGAAGGGCAACAGGGACTGGAGCAAAGGGGGGCACCCTTGGGGACACCCCAAGACATTGAGAAGGCAGCTCGGGGACAATGGCCCTACAACTGCCACTTGCTGACCGCCTGCCAGATCCTGCACTCAACATTTACACTCACTCGCATCTCATTGCCGAAGAACCCAACCAGGCGGGTACCACGACGACCCCATTTCACAGATGAGAAAGTGAAGTGTGGAGCAGCTGGGAGCCTGGCCCGAGCCAGGCAGTTAGAACACCGTGGGACGGCTCAGCGCTCAGGACTCAGGTTTGAAGCCCAGCTCCAAACTGTATTTGGAGTTTGTATGACGTGAGCAAGCGACTGACCTAACGGTAAAATGGGCATGATGATAAAATGCGAGAATATGAAGATTATAAACAGCTAAATAAATACAAGTTTAACAGAAAGGTTCAGTGAAACACTTTCCTAATGCTGATGTGGGGGCAGAGAGTTGGAGACCTCTAAGAAATTATCCTGGAGACACAGCTGATTGGTGGGCTCTGTGAGCCTGGACTCAGTCAACAATTATTGAGCACTTGCTGTATGCCACCACAATGAACCAGCCACCACCCTGTGACCTGCTCATCATCTGACGGGGAAGATGGGTCAAAACCTCACAGCTGCATGGGAGCAGGGATAAAGTGGGCTGCGGACAGACCCAAACTTCCCAGTGGCCAACCAGCCAGGGCAGATGGAGAGCTCCGTTACAGGGACAGCCATGGTCCAGGAACCAGAGCGGAGACAAAGCCAGCGAGGTGCCCACCAGGGCAAGGCCCCAGCACCTGTGCTCTCTCAGTGAGCCTCACGCCAACTCTCAGAGGGAAGGGTCAACAGTTCCATCTCTAAGACGAGAAAACTGAGGTCAGAGAGGTTAGGCGACCAGTCTGAAATCACACAGCTGGCTGGCAGTGGGGCTGGGATTTGAACCCAGATCCGTGGGACAAGGAAGAGATCAGGAAGGGAGTTGGAGAGAGCGAAGGCTGTAAAGACCACGAGACGGCGACAGAGGGATGCATGATCTCCCAGGGCCTCGTGAGAGGTGCAAGGGGACCCTGTGACTGATGACAGTGACTGAGGGAGTCCTGTGTCAGCCTGGCCAGGGGCTTAGAGAGTCTGCCAGAACCAGCTGAGCCTGTCTGATGAGGGAGGAGGGGCTCTGACCCTTGTACCCAGAAGATGAGGGCACACTGTTTCGGAACCCCAAAGCCTGGACCTCAGTGGAGTTCCCCATACACGCCTCCTGGGAGCATTCCTCCTCCAGGCTCTTCTGGTGCTGGAAGAGGAGAAGGGGAAGGATCCAGGAGTTCTGTCCTGCATGCAGGGCTCTAAACACCCGTGGGGCTGTACAAACTTTCCTCGGGGGAGTAATTAACAAGCTCAACCGCCTGTGCAGTTCCCCTCACAGTCAGGCAGCCCGCCTGCCTCAAGAGAGCTCCACAAGGGAAAGCTGGAAAAGGGATTGGAGGAGCGCCAGCCCAGTGGCTAACTGGGCCCAGAACCGGCACTTCTGAGCACCTGGCCAGAGTGTCCGGGGCTCCAGGAACAGCCCCCACCTTCCCTTCTCTCTGAGCCTGCCAGGAGCTGAGGAGCAGCAGCCATTGTTGATTTAACACGGACTCACAGCCTGAAACCTCACTAGACCTCATTCCCTGCCCACCTCTTCCCCGGCCCCTTCCAGGCCCTCCAGCCTCCACATCACTCCTGGTTCAAGCCTCCCACACACCTCAGGGCCTCTGCATATGCCAGTCCCTCTATCCTTCAATCTGTAATGCCGCCCCCCTCTCTAGTAATAGAAATTCTGTCTTCTAGGGTCCAGTTCAAGCGTGCCGCCACGTGCTCAAACCTCTCTGCTCCCCTCACATCCCGACTCAGACTCCAACCTGTCTCGCGCGTGCACCCCACACTGCTGCCCCTTCCCTGTCTTGTAACAGGGCTCCTGTGCTCTGTTCTTTTGCAGCAGACGGTAAGGTCCTGGAAGTCAGGGTCCAAACCCTCCCAGGTGCCAGGGGACATTTACCGGGACCCACGTGTCCATCCAGTACACACTGATTGAGGGGCTCCACGCCCAGGCCCTGGCGGGGTCCTGACTGTTGCCCTTTCCCAGCCCCCTTCCTCCCGTCCGGGTCTCTCCACAACCTCCGCCCTGGGAAGACCACAGAAGCCGCCTGTGTGATTTGCCCTTCATGCCTGGAAGAGCGTCTCCCACCCCCTTCTGATCCCTCGGCCCCCTGTCCCTGTTGTCTCTCTGCCTCCTCTTCCCAGCACAGCTCAGTGTCCTCTGTTGATCTCCAGCCCCAGCACCCTGGATGTGGTTTCCAGCTAGGTGTCTGGCCACTTCTCCAGAGCAGCCCCAGGGCTGAGAGTCCCCCGTCATCAAGGTCCAATCTGGCTTCCCACTTCCCAGGCCACTTGGCCTCTACTCCCAGCAAGAAACTTCTCCTCGGGAGAGGCGCTCAGATTGTCACAGCGAGCAGGAAATGAGGCCCACGGCAGGGGTCCTGCCAGGAGCCCAGAGCGCTCCTTTCTTGGGGGACCGAGCGACACTGATTGGAGGGCGGGGGCTCTCAGCTCCCCTCCCCCCTCTGGAACTCGGCTAGCCGGAGGGTCCAGGGGGGCCGTTCCCCTGACCCGAGCTCCGGCCGCACGCGCTCTACCCGCCGGGACGCCGGGCACCCGGGACTCAGAGAGCGGAGCCGGGCGAGTCGCGGCCCCAAGTCCTCTCCCGGGGCGGGCTCCGCACAGGAACAGGCAGCGCACAGGCTAGGAATTCGCTGGCATCCGCACCCCCTCCTCCTGCTCGAACCCGAGCCGCCCCAAACCCCGGCCACCGCGCCTGGCTCCCGCTCCAACTCCGAAAGGGGCTGGCGGCGAGGGCCGCGCCGAGGGGCGGCCGCGGGCAGGGCGGGCGGTACCTGTCAGCAGTTCGATCCTGTGTCCCAGCACCTTCATCACGGCGCCCGGCGCTGCCCGGCTCGGGGCTGCGGCGTCGGGGGAGCGCGCTCGGCCGAGCCGGGGAGAGGAGCGCGGGAGGCGAGGAGCGCAGCAGGAGGAGCAGCCGGGAGGCAGCCGCGATCTCGCCGCCCCCCTTCCAAAACGGTTAAAAAAAAATCCACCAATTGCACGACCGCGCACCCCTAAAAGGCGCCCGCTGCCACCTGGTCGGGGTGAACTCCGGGAGGCGGAGGGAGCGCGCGGGGTGGGTGCGGGCGACACTCGGGGAGGCGGCGGGAGGGGCCCTGCGCCCGGCGCGCGAACAA